AAAAAAAAAAAAAAAAAAAAAAAAAAAAAAAAAAAAAAAAAAAAAAAAAAAAAAAAAAAAAAAAAAAAAAAAAAAAAAAAAAATCACAGAGAAAAATAATCCATAGAGAACTCGATCCCTGCACATTCTCCACGAAGATTCTCCACTTAAATTCCTTGAAAAATAAATGAGAAATGTTACAAAAATAAGAAATGAAAAAGGAGGCAAAGTTGGGGCAGGGTTGGGGCTTCCCTATACCCACCGGTAGACATCTCTAATCATATTGACTAGACTAACAAGTAATAATATATTGCATACTGTCCATACAATAAACAAATTTCTCACATTCTACCATCTCACACTGATCTTCACGGACCGAAATGCTAATCGAACCACTAGACGAGTTTTGCAAATGACATTCAATTGATGGGATGAGAAGAAAATCTACAAACTACATAGTTACCCAATTGATATCACCAAACAAATAAATGCATCTAACATTACAATGCTTGAATTCGTCCTTCATAGCCATAGTTCTTCAACAGCCCTTCATCTTGCCGCCAATTTTCTTTCACTTTAACCTCAATCTGTTCAATCATGATTTTGTTAACACATACATTCCTTCAGCGACAGTATAAACAACACTCAATGCATTCAAGTACACTAGCTCACAATGGTAGACAAAGCTATTGCATAAACACGCAGCTCATAAAAAGAATCAATACCTCAATATAGACCTTCTTTTGCAAGAAATCTTCTATATCGAGACGAGCAGCTGTTGCAAGAAGTTTCAGAGCCTTTCCTTCCTGTGAACAATCAGATTGCAGTGTTAGGCATCGAGCGCTGCTCGTTATTAAACATACCCTTTGATCTTCTAAGATTTTTTGAGGTCTTTCAGATATCTGGATAATTTAGACTTGTTTGATAACTATTTGGTTTTTGAAAATTAAGCTTATAAACATTACTTGCACCATATATGTGAGATCCCACATCAGTTGGAGAGGGGAACGAAATATTCCTTATAAGGGTGTATAAACCTCTCCCTAGTAGGCACGTTTAAGCCTGAAACTCAAAGTCTAAAGAGAACAATATTTGCTAGCGGTAGGCTTGAGCTGTTACAATATAAGTTTATTTGATATCCACTTTCTACTATTGATTTCAAAAACCAGCCAAGCCAAGTTTTGAAAATAAAAAAATATATAGTTTGTAAAAAACAAACCAGGAATTCAAACATTTCTTGAAGAAAGAAAATCATGGTAAACAAATTCAGAGGAAACAAACATAAATTTCAGAAACTAAAAACATCATCAAACAGAGCAAATTGGGAGGAAACAAGCATAAATCTCAAAAACTAAAAACGTTATCGAACTGGCCTTAGTTAACCAAAGCCTTGAATGCTTTAGAACCAGAAACCATTGATAATTTTGTCCCCTTCAACCAGGTCGCACGAACATTATTGAAACAAGAAGAACATGGGATTCAAAAACTGGAAACATATAATCCCATGCTAATACTACAAGATTTAACTACATGACAGCCCTCTGATATTCTGCCATTAAGTAGATTAGAGTACGACGCGTCGTACTCTCAACGGTGAGGAAATAGTTATATACACGGCCAATATAATCAGATATGACTTTCAAGAGTAGTGCTAAGAATGGCTAAGTTATATACACTAAATGACTGATAAAATTGTTATCTACTTACCTTCCCGATGAGAATGACTTTCTGAGAATTTTTCTCAACAACAATTTCTGCTTGAATAAAATCTTTAGCACCAGGTCTACTCTTGTAGCTCACTACATTCACCTGGAAAGAACAAGATTCTAGCGTTTAGAAATACTTTCTAGACTCTTGATGAACTGATATGAAAGAGAGGGAAAAACAAAGAGTTATGCACCTGACATGCATAAGGAACTTCATTGCGATATTGCATGAATATCTTTTCTCTGACAATTTCAGAAACAAAAAATCTTTCTGGATGCTCACTTACGATGTCCTGAAAATTCATGAGGAAAAAGGTTAAGGTTATAGGTCTCAAAGAGGATGACGAAGAAGTTTAGAACCATAATTATTTCTAATTTTTACTTTCGAACTAAGACATCTGAGACAGACTAAGTTTCAAGCTTATCTGCTCAATACCATTTAATTAATAAGCTCGATTAGCTATCAGACAATTGCAAACAAGTCTAGAATCTTTCACCAGATATCCGGAGGTGTTGGAATGAGCTGCGGTGAAAAGCAGTGACCCGTTTGTTAGGAACTACAAACCTCCACAATTGTATGATATTGTCCACTTTGAGTATAAGCTCTCATGAGTTTGCTTTTGGTTTCCCCAAAAGACCTCATACCAATGGAGATGTATTCCTTACTTATAAACCCATGATCATCCCCTTAATTAGCTGACAAAGGACTCCCCACCAACAATCCTCAACACCGTTAGCCTATAAGTTTGTACTGTGACGAAGCGGCTCATGCTCACCTGACACATGATTCCCCCGTGAAAGTGAAACCTCCGGAATTGCCAAATCTCTCTTGATCGAATGAGATGAACGTAACAACCATGTTCCAGAATCAACTTGACTAACTGCTAAGAGACTTATACTAACTTTTTAACAAGGTTGTATCAAGTTCTTTAAACAAACTTAAATTCTTTTTGATATGATGATGGTACACTAGTTTCAAAGCTTCCTTCAAATTCTTCTGACTGCAATTTAGTCAAAATATGACAAACGTGCGCATAGCTTAGTAGGTAAGACACTAATATCATCTCTCGAGGTAGAACTTTTAAATGAAGATATCGGCCCGATTAATGAATTCTATCATCACTATGAACACAACAACTAAAGAGCTGAATGCACAACCTCGCATCAAAATAAATGAATGAAAATAAATATGAAAAGTTAAGCATAGCTATGGCTTCCTTCACTATTTACCTACCTTTGGATAATAAGCTGGCCCAACAGGAAGTTTGGATAGTATCCATTCCTTCACGTCTTCAATCCCATGGCCATACTTGGCGCTCACAGGTATAACCTCATCAACATTAGTAAATTTCTCATACCACTACAAAGACAACAGGTTCCTTTAAGATAAATCAAAATTTCAAACGAATAAAGAACAGCATGAGTCTACTAGAACACACCTACAAAAACATCAAGCAATGGGTTCTGATTCTGACCTCGAGTTTCTTAGCGATTTCACCCGGTTTGATCAAATCCTTTTTGTTTAATACCAGCAAGGTGGGAGGCATTTCTTTAAGGTTCCCTATACCTTCTTCCAAAACCTCATCAATCTACAAACTCCAAATAGAAAGGGCTAAGTATATGAAAAGAAGCCAATATGTTCAAAGCAATTATGAACTCCAGGAATCATACTTTTTGAGGCGCTTTACATGCATCAACAACAACCAAAACACAGTCTGCATTAATGGCAGCGCTACGCACATTCTTCATCATCATTGAATCCAATTTGTGCATTTTCTTCTCAATGACACCAGGTGTATCATAAAGTATCACCTGCCATTAAGGGATTAACTTGAAGTTCTTCAAAATCAACTATGAAAATCTAAACCATAACGAAAACTATCAAACCTGATACTCTGGCCCAGAACATATACCCAGAATCCGGTGCCTAGTCGTTTGAGGTTTATCCGTAACAATGGATAACTTCTGTCCTATCAATTGGTTTACAAGAGTACTCTTCCCAACATTCGGCTTCCCTAACAGAGCCGCGAATCCTGCAATTTCAACCATAAACACTCACAATTCGATATCTCTTTCTCTCCATAAGAACAGGGAAAGTATACAAACCGCTTCTATGGTTAGGGTCGCTGACATATCCAAGTTCCTCAATCTCGTAATCATCAAGCAAATTCAAGTTCCGATCCGGCTTCTCATTCAGAGACAAGAACGATAACTCATCGTCGGAGTACAAAGAGCTCGTCCCTTCGCCGTCTGTTTCCTCTTCTTCGTTGAATCCATTCTCACTAATGGTAACGGATTGATTCTTCAACACAGGCCTCCGTGTCCGGTGGCTTGAATTTCTGGCTCGGACTTGGAATCGGGAGTGGTTTTGTCGGGAAAGTAGAGGCAATGGGGTTTGCTTCTCCGGCGGGGAAATGAAGATAGTGTTGGAGTAGAAGAAATTATGAGTGTAGATTTTACTCCGGGAAAGAGTTGCCGGTGCCTGTAACGCAATCTCCATCGTCGGAGCTCCAGCGACGAAGCGATTTGAGACTGTTACTTACAGAGGTTGTTGATAGCTCGTTTGTTCGAAATATGGAATCAAGACCGTGGAGTAGATAACCATCGATACGGTGCCGTTTCGAGAAGCAACACCCCTGTCCCCCTCGATATGCATTGCGTAATTATACGCATTTAATAATATTATGAAAAATATTGTTTTGATTTTTTGAAAAAATTATTTAGAGATCAAATTTGTTCAAGTTCAAATGGCTCGAGAATCTGATGAACCTGAATTACCTAACCCAAACCACAGGGTTAGCTCGGGTTTGATTTTTTTCGATCGAGTTGAGTTAAAATTTTAGAAAATAAAAAATTCGAGTCCGTTTGCGAGTTTGACCTTTTTTTAGTCGGGTCAACCCAATCAACCTAAAAATAGGCTATAATCCAACCTTACTCTACTCTCATTTTTAAATTATTATGAATATAAAAAATATTTAACGTGTGTAATTGATATTAGTGATGCAGACTTATGAATATTTGATATTTAAATTTTATGATATTTTATTAATTAATTTTTTTTTAGACCCATTTCAATTATTCTAAATTTTTTCAATCTAATAATCATTATTAAATAATAAATCCAATTTCAATTATAATATATTTTAGGTTGGATTAGTTCCAATCATTTATTTAAATTTTTGTAGTTCGTAAAATATCTATTTATTTATTTTCAAATATTTAATTAAGATTTGCAACTCAATTTTAATATATATTTTAATATATAGTTGAAAAATTATCTTCCATATAATTAAAAATTATTTTTTTTAGAGTGGTTGAAGAATAAATAATAAAAATATTATGAAATAAAATAAAAATAAAATAAATATGTATATATATAATTGTATGGTAAGCCACGGAATCTAATTTTCGAGAAATCCATGAACCAAACAAATTAAATTTTAACGAACAATTTATAAATAAAATCATAAATGTCCAACTATCTAAATTGATGTTCGAGTAAAAAAAAAATCAAACCAACAATGAAATAAATAGGGATATAAACGTTCATAATTTGAATTATTAGGCTCATAAGAACGCCTAATAAACAACCCGTATTTAGCTATACGACCGTCTTACATACGAGCTCTAAGTATACGTCACAACATAATAATTAAGGAAAACTAGTAGAGTGTCAGGTATGGTGCCAAATCCAAATTATATATTCTAATATAAATCTCGAGCATGAGACATTAAATTAACTATGCTCGAACCTACCATCGCATTATTAGAAAGTTTGGCGAACAAGAAAAAAGAGTAGTTTAGGTGATGGCTGAAAATTCAAATACAATGGACGATGCCTCCAACACACCATGAATTTAGGCCGACCGAAAGTGACAATTCAAAGGAATTGAATAAACATAAACCAAACCAATTGATTAATTGTTGCTGGGCCACATTCAAATGTATGTTCGGTTACATCTAATATAGTTGTAACAACCGTTTTGCTCCGTTACGTATCGTCGTCAGTCTCACGATTTTAATGTGTCTGCTAATGAGAGATTTACACTCTTATAAGGAATGTCACGTAAGTTGTAGTTCTGCACGTTTTACTGTAGAGTAGTTATGACAGCTTAATTAAAATAGGGATTGATTGACGTGACATATGGACATACATACTAGTATATGAGAGTGTTCCACAGGTTTAGTCCACCAAATCATCATGTTTGGCCTGCCCTTATTTTGTTCGTTTAACCTTCTCTTCTTGTATCATGTTGCATCAAATCATCACTTGTCACTTTATTCATCATATCACATTAATGTGGGCGTGGATTTGGGGGCTAAGTGAAAGTTATTGAGTTGAAAATTATTTAGTATATAAAGTTAAATAATTTGTGTTTATTTGTGTTTCGGGTAATTAGTGTTAGAATCTATACCTGTTGTTAGCTCTGATACCAATTGTTAGGATCGTTCAACAACGCACATACTCAATCAAGATGAACACAAAGAACATGGAGAGAAAAACAAAGAGGAATATTAATTAAAGGTTTTATTATTGATAATGTATAACGACACAAATTCACAACTAGCAGATATTGTCCTTTTTTGAGCTTCCACTCGAGGCTTTAAAATGCTTATGTTAGAGGAAGGTTTCCACATCTTTATAAATGGTGGTTTGTTCTCCTCCCCAACCAACGTGGGACATCACAATAAAAAGTGATGTCAAGAATGGGATTCAAATCCATGCCCTTTCGGACCTGTACTTAAAACTGGTGTCTTAGATCATCCCACATCGATTAGAGGAAGGAAAGAGTGCAACAAGGACTCTGGGCCCAAAGGAGGGGTGGATTGTGATGTCCCATATTGGTTGGGGAGGAGAATAAACCACCTGTGGAAATCTTTCCTAGGAGACCTTGAGGGAAAGCCCGAAAGGGAAAGCCCAAGGACAATATCTGCTAGTGGTGAATCTGAGCGGTTACATTTACGAAATATATTCCAAATATATCTATATCAAATATCTTTCATATATATACATATATATTTATATCAGATATTTTTCAAATATATGTGTATTAGATCTAATAGATCTAGGCATCAGACTACATATCCCAACACGATGGAGGTGCATAATTTGTAAGAACAGTTCATCGAGAGGTCGATTTAGAAGGATTAGTATGAGGAGGTAGCAGGTATTGGAAAGCAGCGGGTGGCGGCAGAGCAGGCAGCGGGTGGAGGTGGAGAAGGCAAGAGGGGAGGGCCAAACACAAGATTTTGATGCCATTGCGCTTGCGGTGTAAGCAAAGGCAGCCGAATCTGATTCCTCCCCCTCTCTGCCTAATTCCCAACTCTTTCTTTCCTTTTTCCCTTTTCCTTCCTTTCAATCTGCCCAACCACACCCAAATAATCAACCCTCCCCTTTCAATATGGACAACAACTATGCCTATATACGTCTAGATCCATAACTTCCACACTCGTCCAACATTGATCTGAATATAATATGCGTAGCGACACTCGAGTAAAACAGAGATATATGAATAAATCAAAACTATATCTAAATTACAGTAATCTTGTGACTAAGAAATGTTTGAGAAGAAAAGTGAAAGTCGTTACCTATACCAATACCGTACACCCTTCCTTTTTAGTGGCGCATTGTGGGGTCAGTCCTCAACTCATATTAGTTTGTAGGGATAATCTTCACTCTTAGAGAAGTGATAAGTGATGTAATCATGTTATAGGGGTTGATGTATTAGTATAAGCCCATTGTTAGTAGCTATTGCTCGCTTTCATCCGTTACGTGAACTTCACTATTTTAAAACGCGTCTACTAGGGGAGAGGTTTCTTGTTACTCTCTCCAATCCATGTGGGATTTCACAATCTACCTTCTTAGAAGCCAGCATCCTCGGTGGAACACGGCACGGTGTTTGACTCTCATACTATTAGTAACAACTCAAGTCCACCACTAGTAGATATTGTGTGGTTTGGTTCGTTATACATCGTCGTTAACCTTATTGTTTTAATATGTAAATTTTCACACTTTTATAAAAAAATGTTTTGTTCTCTTCTCCAACCGATGTGGGATCATATAAGGAAATGTCGGGTTTACCCCTATGAAAAATTTGGATTCAAAACTATGATGGAAATTGTAAGCTTTTTTTTTTAATTAGAGAGAAATTAAAATCCATGGAGGAAAAAAATGAGTTATGCACTTTACAAATATGAAGCGTGTAAAATGCAGTGGGAGCGGCAACGTCCAACCAGACAATGACACGTCAGGAATGAAATATTTGTTTGCTTACCGAAATTGATGATGACGTGTGAGGTAGTGGGGTTTTAAACTTTGTGGTCAAAAAGGAATATGATGAACGCTAGCATTATAGCATAATGGTTACCTAAAAACACACTTTATTTATTTATTTTTATTTTTATTTTTATTTTTATTTTTATTTTCATTTTTCAACCTTTACAAGAATGGAATATTTGAATTATTCCTTACCACTTTCTTCTTTACCAAAAATAAAAAAAATAAAAAAGTTGCATTATTAAGTTGTTGACTTTATTTTATTTTAGTTTTAAAAGCAGTAATGTTCTTGGGTTGACTCGAATCGAGTCGAGTCGAGTCAGAACATTTTTTGGGACTCACTCAATTGTTCGAGTCATAAGTTTTTTTTTTTTTATTCTAAACAATATTTATTAAATAACGAACCCAACTACAAAATTTTTAGGTTGGATTGGGTTGATTCAGTTAGTTGAGTTGGGTTAGATTGATTAGTTTACTGAGTTATCAAATTTTTTGAACACCCTTAATTATAAGGCTAGATTAATTCGAAGCGTGATCAGTTATAATAAATACAAGTCAATGGCTCTTGCCTACGAATACGTTGGAACCATCCACTTTCACAACTATTACTCAGACGTGTCATAGGTAATAAAAAAAAAAAGGAAAAAAAGGAAAAAAAGGTCATTTTTTCTAGTTGGCCAATAGAGATCAGTTGCCTATCACCTTCAGTGCTCTCCTTGTGGTCCTCCTTCGATTTCCTGATCTTTTCCTCAACCATTAGAGGAAATCGTTTTGGACTTGTTGATGAACAGTAACGTGGATGTTTACCGAAACCATTCTAGAATTCACTCATTCGAATATATCCCGATACAAAACGAATGAACTCATGTTAAGTACCAAAAGGAAAAGGAAGAAGAAAAAAAAAACTTGAATTAAATAAAAAAGAAAAGTGGGTGTGGATAAGAAAAAGAACAAAAAGGCCAATAATGGCTTCCTTTGAAGATACGGAAGGTTTTTCTTTTACTATTTGAATCAATCAATGAAACGTTGCTTCCAAAGGTACAATTAAAATCACTATCTTTTGCGGCCTTCCCGCCCCAATTATCACTAACCTTAAGTAAATCTTTGGCAACTTCAGCCGCCCTCATCAAAGTCGAGATGTCGGTTCGTTCTCGAGACGGGGAATCAGTAGCCCTCTATTTCGACTTCTTGGGTCTTCATATTTTTGAACCGAGGTTAACGAGTGCATGCGGTAACTGGAGTTATATTACAGCTAAGACCAATCTTAATTCAGGGCTCACTAATTAAAAGACGTTCAAGTTCATTACTATTAGAT